ATGATTCGTCATCACTGATGTGGTGATTTTCCGAGAATGATTCGCTCATCATTTTTTTTTTTTTTTTTCTGAAAGTATAGATATATATTTTGATCACTGGTTTTCTAGTCTCACGAAAGGTATATCAGCCTGAATTGGTACACATTTGTACAAAAGTCTAAGGTTGACTACCCTCCGCGAGGGGTATCCCCGCGGTAGCTGTTGCTCCCGCGAGGTTTAGATGGGTTCTGAGGGTGGGGGATCCTGGTACGTAGATATGGGTCAGTATTCGCAGTGAAGAGAATTTAGTTAGGGTGTAGTAACGCAGTGAATTCAAAATTACTGTCGATCTTGGTGAAATTTTGAAGAAGCACATTTTTTTTGTGCAGTATTTTCTTTGATGCCTTGAATAAAATAAAACATGTTTGGATCCCCACACAATAATTGTCCAAAGTTAATCATTTTGCGAGCTACGGTACTTGGTGCTTCATTGAGTTAGCTAAATGTCCGGGGGAACCTTTTACATATTGTGAAACTGCTTGAATCTCCATATAAGGCTTTAGGACAGTACAACTGAGGGCCTATCGATTTAAAGGGATCAATATTTATGAGTCCCTCGCATACCTACAAATACAACCAGTTTATTTCCTGGAAAAAGTTCTCAATCCGAGTACTGAACAACAGTTGGTCCACAACTTTTTTTGACACGAGCACTGAATGTCATCACTGCAGTATACTGGTCGCAATTTTTAAATGAGCATTCATCAATACATCATCGATTTGAGAAAGGGATTTTTCTTTCCAATCTTGAAAACAGCAAGAGAAAATTATTAAAATGTCCATTTTTAATGATATAAAATGTGTGTATTATTTGTTAAGAAAAGTTTTTAGGACTGTTATTCCGAAGCAAATATATAGAAGTTCACGATGAGCAGTATCTTCGGTTTTACGAATGTCTCTCTCTTTTTTATATTTGTGAATCATCAATTTCCTTTACCGAAACGGTTAAAAAAAATTGGGGTGTGTCCTATATACACTCACACGCACGCCATGTAAAAGTCACGTTCTTATCCAAATATATGATAACATATTGGCGCATGAAATATACAAATATTACTATCGTGTTTATTAATAACATACGAGTAATTTCGCATAGGCTCAAATTTCTTTCCTTAACCTTTGAAAAAAAAACAACAATTTTGTGTCCTAGACTTCACCTACGATGGTTGAACGGCAGTCTGGTGCACCATCGCACAGACTACATACGAGTATTTAATTTACAGTAGAATCTCATTACAAGGAATCTCTCAATAACACATGAATGCTCACGACGATTTTTTTTCTCGTTTGTTCCCCGTCCAATAGCCATAATTTTGTAATAATTCCGTTCTAACGAATTTTTGTTTGTAACAGAGCTTTTTCTATAGGGTTCCAAACACTTCATTATTATAAGGAGAATTCACTACTGTATAAACAGTTAAGATTAAGTTCGAACATTGAGAAGAGTGACATGAAAAATTGCTTTCCGTCAGCTCGAGGCTGGTGATTAAATTCGATATGCTTGGTTCTGCAGAAATACTTCCGAAAATTCGCGACATTTAGGACAGTACAACTGAGGGCCTATCGATTTAAAGGGATCAATATTTATGAGTCCCTCGCATACCTACGAATACAATCAGTTTATATCCTGGAAAATGTTCTCAATTCGAGTACTGAACAACAGTTGGTCCACAAGTTTTTAGACACGAGCACTGAATGTCATCACTGCGGTAGACTGGTCGCAATTTTTAAATGAGCATTCATCAATACAGCATCGATTTGAGAAAGGGATTTTTCCTTCCGATCTTGAAAACCACATGAGAAAATTAGTCAATTGTCCATTTTTAATGATAAAAAATCTGCGTATTGTTCGTCAAGAAAAGTTTTTAGGACTGTTATTCCTAAGCAAATATATAGAAGTTCACGAGCAGTATCTTCGGTTTTATGAATGTCTCTCTCTTTTTTTATATTTGTGAATCATCAATTTCTTCTACCGAAACGGTTAAAAAAAATTTGGGTGTGTCCTATATACACTCACACGCACGCTATGTAAAAGCCACGTTCTTATCCCAATATGATAACATATTGGCGCATGAAATATACGAATATTACTTTACTGTTTATTAATAACATAATTGCGCATAGGCTCAAATTTCTTTCCTTAACCTTTGAAAAAAAAAACAACAATTTTTTGTCCTAGACTTCACCTACGATGGTTGAACCGCAGTCTGGTGCACCATCGCACAGACTATATATTTAATTTACAGTAGAATCTCATTACAAGGAATCTCTCAATAACACATGAATGCTCACGACGATTTTTTTTCTCGTTTGGTCCCCGTCCAATAGCCATAATTTTGTAATAATTCCGTTCTAACGAATTTTTGTTTGTAACAGAGCTTTTTCTATAGGGTTCCAAACACTTCATTATTATAAGGAGAATTCACTACTGTATAAACAGTTTCCCCGTCCAATAGCCATAATTTTGTAATAATTCCGTTCTAACGAATTTTTGTTTGTAACAGAGCTTTTTCTATAGGGTTCCAAACACTTCATTATTATAAGGAGAATTCACTACTGTATAAACAGTACAGTACAGTATTATTCGCATATACTGTACAGATATATACGTATTTATACTCGGCATATTTTTCTAGGCATGTATGGTAAAATCGTGCTAGGGTTCTGTGCTGTGCAGCGGACCTGGAACCGTCGCTCCCCGACGGGCGGTTCGGCGTACGGAACCCCGCGGAAGGAGGAATAGCGGAACCCGTTGGAAGCGGTCCGCAGGGTTCCCTGGAGGACGCCCAGCTCGGGGATCACGAGATTAACCGGCTCTCCTGCTTCCTCCTCGCCTGCGATGCGTGTTTTCCCGTGCACCCGTCCCGTGTTCCCAGGCCCGTCCGTCGTCGTCGTTGGCGGCGGCCTGCTCACTTACTTTTTGGGCCGGCAGCAGCTGTGGCCCACGCAGCAAGCACATATATGTACACCTACTCCCTTTTATTTCCTTATTCTTCTTCTTTGCTTTTGTCTCTGTTTACTCCTGTTAAAATCGAATTGTTTTTGTTTTCGTTGAAAAAAACAACAATCTTCAAAACTCGGTAAATGTGAAAAAAATGTAGAGGAAGACAAGAAAAGAAAGCAAATGATGATGTATATATGAAGTTGAAACGATGACGAGGAACTCCATTATGGCAGGTATAAATGATTGAAACATACCATCCAGATTCAGATGACGCAATGAAACACAGTAACTGCTTGAAAAATGTCAAAAAATAGACAAGTTTAAAAAAAACGCTGTGCTGGTTTGCTTTTTTATTATTATTGCTTACATGTGGATGACGGAAAATAAAGGAATCAGAAGAAGACAAGAAACGGAGACAAATATGAGGACAATTTTACAAATTCATTGTTTAAAAAAAAAAATCCTCAAAACTGGGTAAATGTGGAGAAAATGTAGACGAAGACAAGAAAAGAAAGCCTTACTCCTGCATATACTTCAACTTTGCTATTGCTCCTTGAGGTAATACCGTCCATATTTACTAACCCTGTATGGTAGGTCTAAGTCTACGTTACGTTGTGTCATTGACCGACTTTTTACAGATTTGTTAGACAAGTTCTAGCTAAGAAAAAACTCGGATTTCGCTATTTTTTATTCGGAATATTAAAAAAATAAATCGTCAAAACCCGGGGAATATAATGTGGATAGCATGTATCGAGGAAGACATGAAACGAAAACAACTGATGACGTACGAAGTCAAGAAACTCATTCTATATATCATACAACAGCGGGTGAATATGTGACATGTCATCCGCATATTCATATGCAATGAACCAGAAACTGGTTGAAAATTCTTCGCATACAGCCGAGTGTTACGTCTTTTAGCTCATCATATGCAGGCTCAGAAATTGTTTTTTTCTTTCGGAAAATGGAAAAGAAATCGTCAAAACCGAGTGAATGTAGTGAAAATGTAGAAGAAAGCAAGTAACGATGAAAAAATATGAGGACGTAAGAAGTCGAAGTGAGAGACTCAATCCATGAACAAAAATCTAAATTCTAAAGCATTATTGGTGATATTCACTCAGATATTTTTGGGTAAAATGAAAATCCAACAAGACAGTGAAAAGTGCCTTGTTGACATATTCTTCCGATACCCGACTCAAATGGATTCAGGTATCCCCCAAATTTCTTCTGGAAAAATGAACAAAACCCCAATCGTTGAAACCGGGTGCCTTCAGATGAAATTTTGAGGGGGTGGACAAAACAACATGAAGCAAAAACAAATGAGTAAAATTCGAACTAAATCCATTATCAAACAATCCAAATCATTAGGTTTTTCACGCGGGAAAGGAGTCCCAATTACATAATGACAAATTTATTAATGGTTTACGAATTGTATTTTAAATACTGTGGCCGATTTTTTGCTGAAATTCTCGGAAAATTAGGAGTCTCTCTTTGGGAAAGTGATTGAAAGTCGATCGAAACTGGATGCTGAAAATTCATCATCAGAAATACAACGCGAAACCTCAAAGAATGAGAAAGAAGGCGAAATTCCATCCATCAATTCAAATGCTGAAAATCCATCGTCAGAAATACGACAAAAATGAGACCTAAAAGAGTGCGACAGATAATTAGATTAAATCCATCAGCTCATATGATTGATTGATACATTCACCAAAATTATGTCGACCGGTTCATATTTTTTTATTGAACTATAGAAAAAAGGCAAACCTGCTTGCATGGGGCAGCATCTGCATAATTTTTATAATTTTTTTGGAAGCACTCAAGAAATTGGAACCGCGCCAGAATATTTGCAGTCCGAGATATTCCCAAATGTTTGCCTCTCCTTATAATTATCCGAAATAATTGCGCTTATACGAAAAATATCTTTCTAAACATGTTCGCAGGAAAATTTATCGATATAAACAGCTGTGAAATGTATCAAAACAACCTCAACCTGGTCTGTGGAACGGAACATCAGAGTGTATTTCCCGAGTGATTTCCCCCCCCCTTTATTTTCGTCCTGTCCACCCTTTTTTTCCCCCCACCTTCACACGCAAACCCATCATGTAATCCACATCGATAAAAATCCGTCTTTTCCTCACCGGCGGAAAACCCGTCGCCATTCCGCAGCTGTTCTGCTGAAATTAAAAAAAAAAGCCGCGAACCCTATTTCCACAGAGAACCCCATTTCTCGGGGTTATTTTAGGCCCTCCATCACGAATATGAGGGCGACAACACCTTGAGGCTTTTCCTCCAAGGAGCTTATTTTATTAATCCCGCGGTGGGCTTGACCCTCACGTTCCCTAGTTTGCTCGACGGTGTAAAGTGGAAATGGAAGAAATTATTCAACGGCAGTGCAAGTCGTAATTGGTCCCAAGAAAAAAAAAAGAGGCTAAAGTCTGGTGAATGGTGATGCATTTTCCAGCCTAGAAAATGTCTCGAAAGACTTCTTTGATGCTATGAAAAAATGTCGAAAGATCAAGGGATAAAATGCATGCCGGTGAAATAAAATGTGCGGGAAATTACATTTTACAGAAAAACAAACTATAGGAGAAAAATATGGGGAAATATAAAAAGGAAATAGAAATTAATGTCTGAAAAATCGTTCAAATAAACTGTGACATTAAATGAATTTTTCACCTAGAATACCGGTAGTAATACAGTAGTCATAAGGAGAAAAATGGTATTGTTCCTGAACTCGCATACCGCATATTTCACATACCGGTAAGTGTATATTTTTGACGCTAAATTTCAGTTAATTAATTCCTCAAGGGATGTATGACTAATGTAAATCAAGAAACTATCTCGGGGTTTTCAAAAACTTGTGTCGTGAAATGTGTTCGAGATATTTCTGAATACATAGATTTGTTTATTGAGGACTAAGGTCGTGCAATTTCAAGTGCCAAAAAAAAACCCTACACGTTATCAAACTAATCATATCTACCATGCATTTTGTTATGATTTTAAAAACGGAATCTGCTGAACAGAATTTCCAAAATTTGAAAATCAAAATTCAACTATTTGAGAAATAATTTTTAAAAACTTTGAAAAAAGAAGTCTTGAGGTCTTTTGGATCAGCACGTGCTTCGCAATTCTATCTGAATATGTTGCCCGCAAATTGAGGAGAACCAGAAAGTGCACTTTTTTTTTCGGTCCGAACCTCCAAAAGATAAATTGCTGAGAAGAAGTACTGTACTTCCTATCGTCAAAATTGGCTTTGACGTGGCATTCAAACGATTCATGACGTGGCCCTTTGAAATATCAGACCAATTTCGAAATTCGGGAATTGAGGAGAATCCGGAGAAGGTCATACTTTCATGGTTTCGCATCATCTTACATTCTTTTGGAAATTCTGAGAAATCCTTCAAAAAATTAGATTTTTGTACTTATTGAAAAGAGAAATATTTCCTCTGCTGTCAATGGAAAGTAATTTACTTCTTCAACTGCCACATGGGCGCTTTTCAAAGGCTGCTTCTAAATTTGAGAAATCGGAATCCAACAATGTGCTGAAAGCACTCTTTCTAAGAAAATTAAAAAGCCCGAGAAGAAGTTCTTCCCTAAAATGAATACCCTCTTTAGAAATTCTGGATTTAATTTAATTCGTTTATTTAGTGCCCAAGATTAAATTGAATTATGTTCTTCAAAAAGTCTCGTACATGAGAAACCTTTTTTTTCTTGATCATACGAGATTCTTCGAAGTTTTATTGATGTATTTTCCGACACCAGGAAATAACGGAAACAAATTCCAAACACAGCATGCAACATTTTCAAGAAGGTCGAAATTAAATTTTCATACGAATTTCCAATTCCGACTTACTCGGAAAATTTCAAGTCTTCCTTTTTCTGCTGTGTTTTCAGTCACAGCTTCGAAGAGAATAGAAAAAAACCCCCTGAAGGATGCAAGGAAGTTTCAGGGCCGCATGCAAATCGAATCAAGTTTTCTATCAGTCCCCTATATACACCTTTGAAAAACTATGGAAACGAATGCAAAACTTGGTCCAATGAAATGAATGAAATGTTCGAGTTACATTCCCTCGGGCTGAGACGTGGTCACATGAATATATTCCTATAGACATCTTCAACCGTCCATTTTTTTCAAAAATCTACCAAGGAAATCTTGAGGTATCGAAAAACCGAATGAGAAAGACAACTTTTCAAATTGAAATACTGTAGTAAATACAACCGTAATTTATTTATGCAGTATTTTAAATGAGACCATTCAAATTTCTTTGCAAATAAAATAAGGAGAACACTTCGCATATTAAAAAACGTGTATTCATTGCAATAAGGCGATACGCAAGATGATTTCGATATTTATCTTTTTTTCAGGATAAAAAAAAACGGTTAGCAAAAATACGGAACATTTCAGAAATATTTTGAGCTTTCATGAAAAATGACATAAATGAAAGTACGGTAGATTCGTATTTCTTCAAATAATTTCCAATTTGACAGATTGTAGTCGTATACAGTATTCCTGTGATCAAGAGAGATAAAAAAGCACTTTGAAAATTGCCATGTTTGTTAGTTTCGAATTTCTCAAAACGAAACAACATCGGTGAAATCTACGTTCTTCAACATTTTTCACATAATTTTTATAAATGTTACAACAATTATTTGCTTGAATGGCGAAGAGGAATGCGACTCCATTATTCCGTTTGCGGCAGAAAACAGCGTTCATTTTTCAGTTCTGTGCAGGCTGGGTTGAAGAAAAATTTATCGTTTCTTTTAATCTGCGCTGATTTCCTCCTGCCAAAATAATCCACAGTAGAATGCATTTGACGACGATATACGATATGTGACACGTCAATTTCCTCCATTCATGTATGCTGAAAGCCTTCAACTTCTTGATACGCCTCACCGATGGAAACATGAAAGAGGTCATGAGCCCTTTCCTTCATTTTCCGGAACAAACCCTGATATTTACAGAGGGTACTTCTGGGTATATGCGCGGAAATTGGTTCCGAGAATTTTCGAGCCCTCTCCATGCATGGCAAATCAAGCGGGGAAACAAGGAACACATACACGCACGAGATGTGCATATTTTCATCTCTTTTTCGCTCACCTCCGGGGGTTTCTTCAAGCACTGCCGAAGGCGATAAGAACCGGTAGTAGCCCCTCGGAAACGTCGTCGACGACAACGTCGGCAATTCGTCATCGTCAGCACCATCGACAGTCACCAAGACAACGACCGCCACAGCCGCGAAAAGTCCCAACGGGGATTTCATGCACATTCTTAGAATGCTGAACAGTAAATAGAAATCGGGATCACAAATTCTTTTTTTTTTTCGGGCCTATATAATTGCCTCAGACGCTAAATATTCTCACTTTATGCATGTGTAAAGTAAATTTTTAAAATTATTTTCGGAAATAATTAAATTCAGGTTATTTTTTTTGAGGACAAGGATCGATTCAGAAGGTGGTGTGAAGTACTGTATTTTGTTCTTCTTGAAATCTCGATTGCTGGTGAAATAATTTTATAATTATTTCGAATTATGCGATGGAGGGTTGGAAAAAATCATTATTTTGAAATTGAGATATTTTAAAAGCCACGTTTCTTTTATGCAACCTTCAAAACATTTTTCGAGATGAATTGAATGAGCATCTTTCTTAACTAACTCAAATCATCGTCAAATCGAAAATTACAATGATCACAAGTTTTATTTTAATTGAAATGGTATCTTAATCGGTCTTTGAAAGGATTTATTGCTCAAACCCTCTATACAAAGAGCAACATTCATTTCAGCTGGAAAAATTGCTACGGTCACAACTTGAAAAAAAGTATGACAGATTTGCACAAAAAAATGTTGCAGTCAACTTCGGAACTTCAATTGCGTGAATACAAAAATAGCAAGATGATGCTCGTATAGTAAATCTTGGTTCCTCACAGTGATAATGGAGATTAATTCTATAATTCATAGTCTTTCTTTCATTTGAACCGCACTAATCAGAAACAGAACTACTGTATTGGTAAAATATTGATCAAAAAAACTGTTCCACGAGTATAACTTTCAACTATACACAGTACAAAAAAAAAGGACACAGGACTGAAAAATATATGAAATGATATCCCAGCACACTTTTAAAAATTCAAGGTTTGCGTTTCAGAAAATTCTGATCGGAATCCATGTGTATAATTTTGTCATTCCACAGCTCAAAAACAGATTCAGAAATTCAAGCTGCATAATTTCGTCATTCAGTAGCTAAAAGTGTTTCAGAAAAGCTTCGAGGTAGTCTAAAAAGGGAGCGAGTGTAAAACTTTTCGTGACTAGGCTCACGCTTTCGGCGCCTTTGACTAGGGTATAGAAGGGTGTAGCGGCGACAAGCAAGTGTGCCGAGCAAGCATTGTTTCTCTTTCTTCCCTGTTGATTCTTTTTTTTTCTTCTTCATATTATTCACAAACCCGGCCCTAAACCGATGAAAACCGAATGTAGTATCGCTATACTCTGGATGATCGCGTTCAAACGACCCGTGAGAAGGAGGAAAAAAGTAAATCCTGTGAGTTTAACTTCACGCGACGTTCGTCGACACAAAGACTCATCAAATGCGGGAACTAAAAAATAAAGAGTAAAATAATTTCAGAATATTCCGAACGAAAAAAATTTAGCGACACGTTTAGCATCGATTTTTTTTTCAGATTGCTGCTGCTTCTTAGAATACAGAGGTGGCGCAAATTTTCGATTAAATGCGATTGAGATAAATTAAAGGTTTTTACTCATGCTGGGGAACGGCTGAGAGTCCATCTTATTGAAATGCCAAAAAAGCGCCTGTTTGAATATAGTCACAAATGCATTCCATGTCAAATCAATAATGAGTTCACACGAAAAATACATCACCCTGGAAAGTCGGCAAGAAAATGAGCAACTAAATTTCAATTGATTTCCGCAAGAAATCCGGCGATTTCATTCGACGCAGACTATAGAAGGGAATTAGAAGATCTAAAGATCGAAAATACGCGCAATATATCGCATTCTCAGATTCGGGAACAGATTTAACAAGATGGACAGCAATTAACGCTGCTTGATTTATCCAATTGTGACTAATAAATTCTTAGATTTATTACTGATGCTTACACAAAAACCAGAAACAACTCAAACTTTTAATCTCGTAGATGACGAGCGGCTTTTATAACGGATCTGAGTCATATCGTCGTATGAAACTAAAACGACTTCACTATAATTTAAATAAATATTGAACTTTTATAGAACAGAATCATGGAAGTGAAAAATATCCAAGTTTCGACTTCCAAAGCAAGCTTCCAGAGCATACATTGTGCTTGGGAGAAAAGGGTAGAAAAATCCTTCCCGATTTTCAAATTTGAGACAGGGGCATTTTTTGTCTCTCATGACAAACATCTAATGGAAAATAGTTCAGCACCGGTGCTGAGCTTGCTTAAGAATAGAGAAAACAACGTTTATTCGTCAAAGCCACACCTTTCATACACCTTACTTTTTTCTTAGTTAAGTCGCTGGTAGCTTACTGCTTGCTTACTTTTTGTCCATACTTTAATATGTGACTAGTTATTTTGGTAGGTAGTTTACGGATATATATCTGCATTAGTCCGAGGTCAACAGGATAAAATATCTAGCAGCGCAGTTGCGAAAGAAACTTACAGGTTAAAAAAAAATGCGTGCAACTTTAATTTAGTTTCCATAGTTCCCTCTATATTTTCAAGAATTTAGTCCTTGATCTTTGCAATATTTACTAAGGGTTTGAATTTTTATTCTTGTCTGTTATTTTTTGCCCAACGTCAGTCTGATTTGAAAATGTTTTTCTTTGAAACTTGAAACCTGAATGAATTTTGAATCTTTTTGCTTCAAAAGATTTCTTGAAATATATATAAAGCAGCTCAAGAAGTACAACAATGAATTTCACCGGTGAACGAAAATGACGCGCAAGAATTTTCCTGAATTTCCGATCAAGTTTTCAACCCAAAAAAAAAAAAATCAAAAACGCTGGCAAAGAAGCAAAAGACCACGGAAGCATCTTCATTGCATCATCTTCAGCAGAAATCTTCCTCGATCCCAACACTGCGTATTGTGTGCGTTCGTTTTATTGGCGCAGGACACCACGTGTCACCAAATATACACACGCATTAATTTTCTATTTGCACAAACAAATCTTCAATAAGTGCGAAGAGAATGTGTCAAGAGACGGATGATGCGAACTGGTTGAATATGTGTCGATGATGACGTCCATATATATATATATGCACACGTGAATCAGCTCACATGCGGGCACCATTCCGAAGCCGGATGATCAAAGGCACTGCGGCGCATCCAAGCAGCAACACGCCTCTGGCAACGGACACGTCACCGCCTTTGAAGGTGTCGAGGAACGGGACGAGCCATGGTCTCCAAAACCATCTAGTCTGTGACCAACGCCTATACGTGCAAACACACAGATTGAGGGAGAAGAAGAGACGGAAGAATTAAAATTAGAATACTGAACGAGAAAAAATATTTGGACAGCATCGCGCGTGGCTTTTGTCGGGGAACCACGTACGCGCAGAACAATGTAAAATTATTTTAACTTGTAAAAATGAGCAACTACAATAGAGCCACTTCTCAATGACGACCAGTTTTCAAGGAAAACACCACCACCTATAAGAAACACAATGTCAACAGGAACCGATTTCCACGCATTGTCGTGAAGTTCAAAGAACTAAGCCACATTTGCAATCAAACTTTTGCTGTGCATACTGTACAAAAATTACATCTATTGAAGAGTTCTGCTGAGTTGTTAAAAGTGCTGCTGAAATTATCTACTCAAAATTTGTGCGTTGGGACAAAAATTGAAATAGTTGTAAATAGGAAATCCTAAAAGGATTCCTGGCCTAGTCCCAGGCTGATTCGGCTTTTTATTTCTTGAATTTTGAACTTTACTTTATTCTTCATTTTTTGATCCACCAGTAAATTTATTCATATTTATCTTAAGGTAAGTTATTCCTTAACAGCTTTGGAGTGATTTCACTCAGGCTTTTGTCTCCTTTTGCCCACTTTCTCAGATTGCAGTATACTGCATAGTTCTGTTGAAATTTGTTTAATAACCGAGCCTCATTTAAAAATAATGAAAAATCCAACAAATACAAGCAAATTTCAAATAAGGGCGGACGTTGTTACATTTATTTTTTTGATAAACAGGGGTTCAAATCAGTATTCCCAACCCGTGGTCCGCAGATGACCGGCGCTGGTCCGCAGAAACGTTTCGCAGGTACAGTACATGGGATTTTTTTCCAGCATAAGAAAAATCAGCAGAAAAATGTATTTTAATTCCCAAAAGTACAAGAAAAACTGCCAAAAAATCATTGAAAATCAATTAGAATCCTAAAATTGCATAATAGCGAGATTTTTAACATTGCGTCTATGAAGATTTGACTCCGATGGGCATCTTGAAAAACTCTTGTTGCAATGCAGATTTTTCTACAACGGTATTTGTCATAACAGAAATTGGTCTTCAAATGCATTAAATTTTTTTTTATGTCTCTAAGTGAAGGTTTGCTGAAAAATCCTGTCTCTGCTATTACCTAAAGCTTACGATACATACAGCTAAGCATTTGACCTTTTTTCCCCCAAGAAATTCGTCGCCGTTATTCTTCGCCTCTGGTCTTCAATAACAATTAACACATCAACACAGTGCAATAAACCATCTGATTGCTTTTCCCCCAGGACATTCCACTTCAAAGTTGGTTGCCCA